ATAATAATAATCAGGGATAATTTAAAGTTGTGATTCTTAGAACTGTGTTTGATTTAAGATTAATTATCATAAACTAAATATAAATTGAACCTAATACATAATATAATGTACATAAAGCAACAGTAATCATACATTTTGTTTTTAGTTATTCTCTGCTCTTAAACATTTTTGCAGTTTCACATTTTTCTTTGTAAATGCAGTATTTATAAATTGATTTTTATAAATCTTTAGACAGTAATCATGAAGGAAGGCTTGTCATGGTGATTCATTGGTCATAAGGTGTAGATTAAACCAGTATAAAATGCATATATATATATACATATACTGTATATATTTATTTATATTTTATTAATCTTGTACCCGCTCTCAGCTGCAGACCAGTCCCGAGTACGGTCAGGGCATGAACCCCATCAGCAGACTGGCTCAGATCCAGCAAGCTAAGAAAGAAAAAGAGCCTGAGTACACTTTAGTGACAGAGAGAGGACTGCCTCGACGCAGGGAGTTTGTCATGCAGGTACTCCATCAGAGAGAAGACTGTTCTCTGACTCAGCATTTTTATAACAGTTCAGTGCAGTTTTTGTGTGAAGGCCATGTTCTTCTGGCCATCATTTTCTTCTACAGCCTACAAAATTGCTTCTTGTCAGAAGTGTTCCTGAGGAAGTAATGCGTCCCCTATTACTTTCTGTTTTTCGTCTCACTCAGGTGTCAGTTGCGAAACGTTTTAGCAAATCAGATAAGTTAGATATCCGATCAGCGAAAACGCATGAAATGACCAGGTGTAAACAGGCCCTAAATGTACAGTCAAATGAATTACTTTCACACATGTTGAGTAGTTGATACTAGATTTTTTAATTTTGGGCAAACTGTTCCTTTAAAATTACAATTGAACGTTGGCCTGTTTTGTCTAGGCAGAGTCTGCCTATGCCTTCTACCCATTTTAACCATCTATTTTAACCTTGAGTACATCAGTTGGGGTTAATTTGTCTTTATGATGTTTTTTTTTTTGCATTTACAGTATCATTCAAAAGTTTGAGGTCAGTAAGATAAAAAAAAAAGAATATTTTTATTCATCAAGGGCACATTAAATTGATCAAAAGTGATAGTAAAGACATTTAAATTGTTACAGAGGATTTTTAGGTTAAACTTTAAGGTTTCATTTGTTAACTTTAGTAAATGTATTAGTTAACATAAACTAACAATGAAAAATACTTTTAAAGCCTTTATGAATGTTAATGTTAATTTCAACATTTACTACTAAATTATTAAAATTAAAAGGTCTATACATATTATTTAATGTTAATATTATTTAATGTACTCAAGTAAAAATTAGCTAACAATGATCGGCTGTGTTTTTATTAACTAAGAGAGATTAATAAATACAAATGTTTTGCTCACTGTTAGTTAACATTAAGCAATGCATTAACATTGATAATAATAGGAAATGTTTATTGTTCACCAAATCAGCATATTAGAATGATTTCTGAAGGATCACGTGACACTGAAGACTGGAGTAATGATGCTGAATATCACTTCTCGCGTGTGTTTTGTTGTGAAAGTAGTTTGCAGACCAGACAGAGCTGTCGGCGATTCTTCCTATTGTGAAGTCATGCAATGTGAAACCCCCTGTCGCCGATCCATCGTGCAGTGTGAACACAGCAACAACTGAATGCTACCCCAGATAGTCACGCAGTGTGAAAACAAAGGCGATCCGACGAGTTTGAAAATCGTGCAGTGTGAACTCGGCATAAGACGCAGACGGTCAATACACAATCATCTTCATTAAAAGTAGTAAGACAAACTTATCTTTCCAGTGCTGATGCCGCGCGCTCTCCTATTGCGGTCTTTGGTCTTGAAATGAGCTGATAATTAATAAAATGCAGCGCTTATCTTTTGATTTCGTTGACGTGAACTAAATAAATTTAAATATAGCGCGGGAACTGAAGATCGGATTTAAATCCGTTTTGCGACGACACATTTATCTGGCCAAGTATAAATGGAAACGTTTTAGCAAATCAGATAAGTTAGATATCCGATCAGCGAAAACGCATGAAATGACCAGGTGTAAACAGGCCCTAAATGTACAGTCAAATGAATTACTTTCACACATGTTGAGTAGTTGATACTAGATTTTTTAATTTTGGGCAAACTGTTCCTTTAAAATTACAATTGAACGTTGGCCTGTTTTGTCTAGGCAGAGTCTGCCTATGCCTTCTACCCATTTTAACCATCTATTTTAACCTTGAGTACATCAGTTGGGGTTAATTTGTCTTTATGATGTTTTTTTTTTTGCATTTACAGTATCATTCAAAAGTTTGAGGTCAGTAAGATAAAAAAAAAAGAATATTTTTATTCATCAAGGGCACATTAAATTGATCAAAAGTGATAGTAAAGACATTTAAATTGTTACAGAGGATTTTTAGGTTAAACTTTAAGGTTTCATTTGTTAACTTTAGTAAATGTATTAGTTAACATAAACTAACAATGAAAAATACTTTTAAAGCCTTTATGAATGTTAATGTTAATTTCAACATTTACTACTAAATTATTAAAATTAAAAGGTCTATACATATTATTTAATGTTAATATTATTTAATGTACTCAAGTAAAAATTAGCTAACAATGATCGGCTGTGTTTTTATTAACTAAGAGAGATTAATAAATACAAATGTTTTGCTCACTGTTAGTTAACATTAAGCAATGCATTAACATTGATAATAATAGGAAATGTTTATTGTTCACCAAATCAGCATATTAGAATGATTTCTGAAGGATCACGTGACACTGAAGACTGGAGTAATGATGCTGAAAATTCAGCTTTGCATCACAGGAATCAATTACATTTTAAAATATATCAAAATGGAAAAAGACTATTTTAAACGGCAACAATATTTGACAGTAATAATATTTTTACAGTAATAGGTTGAACCTCATGAATGTTAGCAGTGCAAACAGCTGTTTGGCATGTTTCTCTCTCATTCAGATAATGTAACCCACACTGTGGAGCTTAATGCACTTTGTATGAAGTTGGGCAAGAAGCCCATCTACAAACCTATAGATGCCTACCCGGGGATGAGACCAGCATTCAACTACAACATCAGAGCACCAGGCCCTTATGCACACTCCATGCAGCAGTATGCACTCTCTATTTATTCCTATTTTATCCATTCTTTTAGCTTACTGAATGATGCACAATAGATCTTTTGGTTGATACTATAGCCTTTTGTGATTGTATGATTGATTAGATTATATATTGTTTTGTTTATTTTTCTCTTGATCAGTTATTACTACCCATTTCCTCCTGTGGGGCCAGTACTGTATCAAATGGAGCTGTCTATCGGTGGACAACAGTTCCATGGCAAGGGCCGCACGCGTCAAGCAGCCAAACATGACGCTGCGGCTAAAGCTATCAAATATCTGCAGAAAGAGCCAATAATGCAGCAAATAGCTGAGGTGAGAGTTCATACTACTAACATGATGAATGGGGTGTCAGTAATTTATTCTTCCAAAAGAGCTGCTGTGAAATCTTGAACCTTATCTAGTAAATACAAGCAAAATACATTTATCTAATCTGTATTATTAAATCGTGATTGAAAATGCATGTCACGTTCATCCTGTAGATGAAAGAAGAGCCAGTACAAGAAAACCTTAACAGGTCAGAGATCAGCCAAGTGTTTGAGATTGCACTGAAGCGCAACATGCCTGTGAATTTTGAGGTATGTCATGATCCCATCATGCATAGGCTGCAAACATATTTAAAAAATGCAAATAATAATTGAGCGAAATTCCATGCTCATGCATATAGATTTATTGTGATATCTCACAGTTATGCTCGAACCAAACAATTGTTGACTTTTCTTTAACTGTCCTCACTATATACAGGTGCTAAAAGAGACTGGGCCTCCTCACATGAAGAGTTTTGTGGTGCGGGTAACAGTGGGCGAGTTTTCAGGGGAGGGTGAAGGCAAAAGCAAGAAGATCGCCAAGAAACTAGCTGCCATCGCTGTCCTGGAGGAGCTCTGCATACTGCCTCAACTACCTGTCATCGACAAGATACCACTACGCATTAAAAAGAAAAGCAAGTCCATTATTAAGGTAGAAGATGACTTTGACTGGCTGAGTTAGTTTGATGGCTAGAGTGTTGTGCTGATTCAAAACTCAGAAACAGATCACGTCTTTGCTAATAAATATTAAGTAAAAAGTATTTGATTTTTAATAGTTTGGATTATTAAAATGTTAAAACATCAATGTATTTAATAAAGTACCAAGTTTGAGGTTTCTTTGTTGTGACAGACCAAATGATCAGCCTTGGGAAGTTAATCATCTTTTTCAGTGATATATTCTGAAGGAAGGCTTGTCATGGTGATTCATTGGTCATAAGGTGTAGATTAAACCAGTATAAAATGCAATTATATATATACATATACTGTATATATTTATTTATATTTTATTAATCTTGTACCCGCTCTCAGCTGCAGACCAGTCCCGAGTACGGTCAGGGCATGAACCCCATCAGCAGACTGGCTCAGATCCAGCAAGCTAAGAAAGAAAAAGAGCCTGAGTACACTTTAGTGACAGAGAGAGGACTGCCTCGACGCAGGGAGTTTGTCATGCAGGTACTCCATCAGAGAGAAGACTGTTCTCTGACTCAGCATTTTTATAACAGTTCAGTGCAGTTTTTGTGTGAAGGCCATGTTCTTCTGGCCATCATTTTCTTCTACAGCCTACAAAATTGCTTCTTGTCAGAAGTGTTCCTGAGGAAGTAATGCGTCCCCTATTACTTTCTGTTTTTCGTCTCACTCAGGTGTCAGTTGCAGGTAAGAATGCAGAGGGAATGGGACCTAGTAAAAAAGTGGCCAAGCGAAATGCAGCCGAGAAGATGCTGGAGCTTCTGGGCTTCAAAGTGCCTCAGCCACAGCCACCCAAACCGGCACTGAAAATGGACGAGAAGGTGAGCGCCTGCTTATTAACAGCATTCACTTTGTATTAAAAACATGTTGGAAGTAGTTTCATAGAGTTTTCAAACTGGGGTCCAGGGCTGATAAGAGGGTTTGTGAAAAAAAAAAAAAAAAGATTTTTACAAAATGTTTTTAGGGCTGTCAAAGTTAAGGTGTGTACTTTACTTTAATATATTAATGCAACATGTTTAATGTAATGCTTTTTTAATTGTTTTTTTAAACATTCACCAAAAATGATAATATTACTATTACAGGGCTGTCAAAGTTAAAGGGACAGTTCACCCAAAAATAAAAAAATTACCCTATAATTTACTCGCCCTCAAGCCATCTTATGTGTATATGACTTTCTTCTTTCAGACGAATACGATCGGAGTTATATTTTAAAATGTCCTGGCTCTTCCAAGCTTTATAATGGCAGTGAATGGCTGATATTCAATAGTCCAATAGAAGTCCAATAAACTGCATCCATCCATCATAAAAAAGTGCTCCACATGGCTCCAGGGGGTTAATAAAGGCAGCCATTCACTGCCATTATAAAGCTTGGAAGAGTCAGGACATTTTTTACACCTTGAATGGCTTGATGGTGAGTAAATTATGAGGTAATTTTCATTTTTGGGTGAACTATCCCTTTAAGGTGTGTACTTAATATATTAATGCAACATGTTTATTTTAATTACATTCACCAAATTTTATATCACTATTTCAGCTTTGTAAATAGTGGTCAGTTATTTATTTATTTTAATTTTTTTACAGAACTAGTTTTTAGCAATGAGCAAACAAAATATAGTTTGGTGTAAAAATATATTTTCTAGATAAGTTTAAAACTATTTGTTTAAAAAAAGGTTGAAATATTTAGCATAACAATATAAAAGCCAAGTATTTCATTTGTCTTTTATAATATTGCACCTGATGATGTTGTCACCTAGCAGAAATTATTTTCTAAAACATTTCATTCCTATCTATTTTTGGAAGGAGATCCCTCATAAGGGGAACGTCGTATTTTGATCAGTTTGGCATCAAAAATCTCATTCACCGAAAAAGGAACATTTACTAATTTTCATGTTCCAGATCTTCCAAGATACATTCCAAGAATTATTTGCATGTTGAAGTCTTAGTGTAAATAGTAAAGTACTTGTTTTATTTATCGTTGTAAAGGCACCTGCTAAGAAACCTGGAGATGGACGTAAAGTGACCTTCTTTGAGCCAGGCTCTGTGGAGAAGGCTGGTCTTGGTATGTGTTTTGCAGTCAGTTTTCATCTGAAACAGTCATAAATATATTCACTTGAATGTTGTTATATGTATATGGTCCTTGTATCATATTACAAGGTCATTGTTAATTTTAGTGAATATTTCCTGCTTGCAATTGATTCTTACGTTTCTCAAACCAGTCAATAAGGAGGAAGATTTCCGAGTTCCCTTCCTCAGCCATCAGCAGCTTCCTGCTGGCATTTTACCCATGGTGCCTGAAGTGGCACAGGCGGTGGGTGCCAACCAGGGACCCCATGCCAAAGACTACTGTCGCACAGCTGCCCCCAACCCAGCCAAGACCACAGTAACGGCCATGATTGCCAATGAGCTGCTGTATGCTGGGACGTCCCCGACTGCGGAGGGTATACTGAAGACCAACAACAGCTTGGCACACAGACCCCACGGACCCCTTACCAGACCGTCCGAACAGCTCAGCTACCTGGCCACTATACAGGGCTTACAGGTATTGAATATAACAATGAACACACACTTATCTAACCCAATGATGTTGCTCAACCAATCTGTATCTTTTGTTTGTTTTTCTCTCTCTCTACAGGTTGAATACAAAGACTTTCCCAAAAATAACAAGAATGAGTTTGTGTCTCTGATCAACTGCTCCTCTCAGCCCCCTCTCATCAGCCATGGCATCGGCAAGGATGTGGAGTCCTGCCATGACATGGTAGGTATTATAATAATAATAATATTTACCATGTCGTACCATATATATATATGGTATTTTATATTTATTTATTTATTTATTTTATATATAGTTATATAATATATGTGACCCTGGACCACAAAACCAGTCATAAGGGTAAATTTTTGGTTTGTTAGATAGGACAATATGTGGCCGAGATACAACTATTTGAAAATCTGGAATCTATATATATATGTAGAAGAAATTCATTTCATTTCAAACATTGATTTACCCACACATCCATAATAATATAAACTAAGCAACATTAAAAAGAATTTCACACATTAGTTGCTGCAGCTGTTCAGAAAAGACAGATAATTAAGCAGCCTTTCTGGCACCATTGGCTGCTCTTTTCTTCCTCGTGGTCTCGGTGAATGAGTACACAGTTATCTAAACCCTGAAAGCGATATGTGACCCTGGACCACAAAACCCATCATAAGGGTCAATTTTTTTAAATTGAGATTTATACATCATCTGAAAGCTAAGTAAATAAGCTAAAAAAAAATCTGTTTTCACAAAAATATTAAGCAGTTTTCAACATCGATACTAAATTATTCTTATTAGAATAATTTTTGAAGGATCATGTGCAGTGTTATTTTAGTGTCATTGAGATACTGCTATAGTTTTTAATATTTTGAATAAACTTTTATTTTTATATTTTTCGGATTTCATGTTAATTTTAGTTAATTTTATTTTTATTTTTGTGTAATTTTGTTGTTTTTAAATATGTCTATTAGTTTTTATTTTTCAGTTGCAGTTTTTTTTTAGTACATTGAGTTAAACTAAATGAAAATGAGAAATGTTGCCTTGGAAACTGAGTTTAAGTTTTTGTATTTCAGTCAACATTTATTTCAATTAACAGTTTTTATTTTATTTTATGGTTTTAGTTAACTATAAAAACCCTGATCATGTGACACTGTAGACTGGAGTAATGGCTGCTAGAAATTCAACTTTGCTTTCACAGGAATAAATTACATTTTAAAATATATTAAAATAGAAAATTGTTTTAAAATTACAATAATATTTCAGAATATTACCATTTTGTGTGTGTGTATATAAATAATGAAAATTCAGCTTTCCTACCACAGGAATAAATTATATTTTAAAGTATATTAAAATTGAAAACCGTTATATTTTAAATTGTAGTAATATTTCCCAAATGAATGTTTATTACTGTATTTTTGATCACGTAAATGCAATCTTGATGAGCATAAGAGACTTCTTTAAAAAAAAAATTTTTTTTTAAACCATTAAATATCTTACTGATTCCAGACTTTTGAATGTTATATGTATGTGTTTGTATGTATAGATGCATCTATCTACTTGTATCTTGTTTACTGCAATGCATTTTTGTTTCTGGACAGGCTGCTCTGAACATCCTTAAGCTCCTGTCAGAACTTGACCAGCAGTCCAATGAGCGCACAGCTAATGGACCAACGACCGGGTCAGTCTCAAATGTTAAAGAGAGTCTTATTGTTTTAAAATATGAGTTAGCTGTATAAATGTTGGCATACAAGTGTCTGTTAATAAAGCACATAGCTAAAGATAAAGCTGATAAATGAGTCTTATATCTGCATACATTGCAATTAATTTCTCACGTGTTTCCCCCTCCATAGGTGCAACAAACAAGACCTCGAGGGCGATGCATTATTAAAACCGGCTAACTCAAGCACCATCGGAAAGACTCTGGATGGCACAGTGTAGAATTGACTATTTGATTGGTCGTTTTATTTGCGAAACACTAGAGAAAAGTCAGAAGCAGAGTTTTGATTGGCTGCTCAAAAAGGCCTTTGAGTAATTCTTAATAGATCTTAGATCAAAAGAAGTTAAAGTATTTAAACCAGTTAAACAAGGTCGAGAGATGTTGATGTTAAATTGTTCACATGCAGTGATGCATCTTTAAACGCTAAGGCTTTGGGAAAAGTCGCCTCATCATATCCAGTGAAGTGGTGGTTTTGTTTTTGTTGTTAAATTGTAAAACGATTATCGTGAGGTTGGACTCGAGTAGATTGGCTTTTCTTCGTTGCTCCAAGGAAGTCATGTTTTCAGTGTCATGATTTTGTTTGTTCTCGCTTTTATTTTTTTCGTTTATTTTTAACGTTGTATTATAGGAACCCAGCCAGTTGGGTTGTTGTGTTAGCGCTGTTGTGAAGTGCAGTATAAAACCCTATCGAAGGATATGATGAAGCTTTCAAATACGTCTCTGCTGTGGTGGTTTTTCTCCAGTGCTTTTTTGAGTTACAATGACGACCATAACACTCATTCACACACGCACACACAAATTACATTTCGTCTACATTTTCATGTAGGCCTGGGAAAATGTTGTTGTGACTTCAGTGTAGAGTGTATGGTGGTGTTTTTTGTGTGTATGGGAGCAAGTGAGTGAATGTGTTTCAAGCACGATAATCTTCAGTCATGTCAGTTAAACTGATGCATTCTTCTATCAGTGTTGACCCTGCCCATCCTCCTCCAGTTGCATCCTGTTTTCCTCATGGTATAGGAGTAAAAATGATGTGCCTCTTGCACAAATAAAAACTGTGTGTGTGTGTCTGCTGTTAATACTATACTCGGGGATTCCTCAGTTATGGAAACCCTGTAAATATAAAGGAATTTTAACATTGATTTAAAGACCTAAAAAGTGTTGTTTTTTTGTTGTTGTTTTTTGTAATAAGAATTTATTCTAATAATTTTATAAATTAAATTAAATTAAATATTAAATATTACTTATTGAAATAAATATATTTAATAATAAATATAATAAATATTTTTTAAATATGTATATATATTGTTATATTTTATATAAATGTAATATAAGTGTAAATATAGATCT